CACCCTTGCCAAGCCACAGTATCCTCTAGTCTATTCCCAGCYTCTTCGCTAGGACTGATTTCCACAAACCAAGCAAGTCCTTGTATAGAGGTGAAGGAGATGACGCTATCGGCATAGAACCCATAGCCTATACTGAAGCCCTAGATTATTGTTTCTAAAACTGATGCCCCAGGCCTTCCAGTATCAGAATCACTGAGATCAGAATCAGAGGCTTGTTTAAAAAATGCAGGTTCCCAGGCTTGCTACATAGTAACCCTGGCATTGAACCACAGACTATTTTTCACAGTCCAAACCATGGTTATCTCATACTCTGGATCACCCCAAAGTCAACTCAGCTTTCAACCTCAGCATCTGATGAAACAGAGGCCAAGTCAAAGGAGGAGTTGGGAGGAGTTGGGAAGGAACAAGAATTATGAAGAGGAAGGGAGAAGGGGAGTGTGAGAGAAAGAAGCTAGACTGTTGCAGATGGACAGCAGAGGAACTATGSCTAAAGGCAGACTCATTTTATGACAGCCATTTGTTTCCCACTTCCTTTGACACTCACCTTTGTGTGTCTACTAGCCTTCTTCTTCTAGCATGATTTGTACCCAGACAGCCAGTGTGACAATGTAACCCTCTACAAATCATAGAGTCAACAACAAAGAATGAGAGGGAAAAAAATGCCCCAGATCCAAAGGTCAGAGCAAACTTTTGTTAGCTGGAAATCTACATGCCACAAAAATGTTGCCTAGGGGTTGATTCATTTCACAAATGTGAAGTATGTTCTCTGATTCCACGCCACGCCTTCCCTCTCAATTCCATGCCACTCCATAATTGCTCATTTCATGATTTTTAAGTTCTTTCCCACCTTCTTCCCATTTCTTATGAAATATATTTATCCAGCAATAGACACGATAGAATGCAGATCAAACGGAAGTAATGCCTGTAATTTCTGACTGCTAACTTCACTCAGAATTGAACTTAGGAAGAGTTTAGGCATTGATGGGGGGAAAATAATTATTAGGTAACATTGTTTTTTTCCAAAAAAATGATTTATGGATTGGAATTCAAACCTTATTCCACAATGTAGATCTGTTCAAAATGGATCTTCAACAGGCCATCCTTAGTAATACTCCTCATATTCATATCCATAGCCTCTTTTATAAAAGAAAATCTACATGTTCCTCTTCTTTCCTGTCCCACTACTCCAACTGTCATTAGACATTTTGACACCAAACTATTTCTCATTTTCTTGCTCACTAGGGACAAATTTAGTCTGTGTTCTTGGATACCTGGCCATTTCATGTCCCTGTGCAGTGAACCTTAAAAAAAAATCTGTGAAATGGACTCCAATAATTGCATTTATTTTTGGATTCTAGTTTTTAAGTTACATTGCAGAGACCATCAAGTCAATTTAACATGCACAGAGCTTTTGAAACTCAAAGATAAGAGGTTGTACCCTGGGTCTTCTGGTCACCAACATCACCCCCATCTTTGATTGTTCTGTTTGGTGGCTCCCACAGTAACTGTGTATCAGAATCAGCTGAGGGATTTTAAAAATAAAGACTTGATATCTCAACCCAGAAATAAAGAATCTGACTTTCTGGGATTGGGGCCCAGGAGCGAGTGAGCAAGTGAGCTTGCTTGCTTGCTTGCTTGCTTGCTTTCCTTCCTCTCTCTTTTCTTTATTTTCCTTTCCTTTCCATCCTTCTCTCTCTCCCTCACTCATTTTTCCCCTTTCCTTCCTTCCTTCCTTTCTTTCTATAGGCTCCCCAGGTGATTCTCATGCAGCCTCCAAGTACCCATTCACTGAAGGCATCTGGGAAGCATTTCTCTGGTTTGAACTTGTACATGCAACATAAGCACCTGGAGGCCTTAATAGCAGACTGAACCCTCAAAGTTTCTGATCAATGGGTCTAGGATGAAGCTTGTAAATCTGTATTTCTAACAAGTTTCCAGGTGTTGCTGATGGCTGGTCTCTCTACCCRGAGGATTATGCCTCTAACCCAGACAGCTTGTGCATAGATTTATTATTCACTAGCATTTCTATTTTGTGGTCAAAGACTRTGCTTCTGAAGAAGGAATATCCTCGGGTCAGAGATAACGCATCTGGCTGAGCAATATAATCACTTGGAGCTTTTTTATTTTTTTAATTTAATATTCAATTATTGAGGTTAAGCTTGGGCTTCATCTCAGATCTGCTGAATCAACATTTCCAGATTCCCTGGGAGTTTTTTGTTTTGTTTTGTTTTGAAGTTACCCAGAAGATTCTGATTTATGACAAGGATTTGAAGCCATTTCCTTAGATGAGCCAAACTTKTGAGTTCATGAATAACTTATAAGAAAAAGTTATTTGTTGTTTATCAGAAACTCAWATGTAATGGGGCATCCCATGTTTTTATTTGCAAATGTGGCACTCCCTGCTCACTCAGCTGTCTTTGCCAGGAGTGTCTTTCCTCTCTGTGCTCCCTCCTTCCCTCACATATCCCTGTTTTAAATGCTTAAGGGAATGGAGGTGAGCAAAACTCATACAAATGTGATATGTGAGGCGAAGAAGAGAAAATTAAGATGTTTCCTCAGGAAAGAAAACACACACACACACACACACACACACACACACAAATTCATTAATCTAGACAGCAGAAACAAAATCAGAAAAAAAAAATTTACAGTCTGCTAATGGTTTTTTACCAGACAATTCGTCAATTACACAGTCAAAAGAAACCCTGGGGAACAAAAAGACACCAAAGATGCTATTAAAATGTTCCAAGTGAAGCTGTATATAATTAATTTCAAACAAGCATAAGCTATGAAAACACAAATGCTTCAAGGTGCTGAGTGAAAAATGGGATAAATCTACATCAGCCTCAAAATCAGTGCTTCCAGGTGAGTTTAAGTTTAGGCCAGAGACAGAGAGAGACTGTTGTCTGCTCCCTCCCTGTTTTAYGGGAAGCTAAAGAGTCTTCAGACGAGACGCTCCCAGAGCATCAAGGACAAGAAGAGACAGATAAAGACCATCCCTTCACATCATCACCAACTACCAGCACACGGAACTGAATAAATGAAACATCAATCAAAACAGAGGAGAAAAATGCACTGATGCAGAAGGCACAGAAAACAAAGGGAGATCTAGTAATTGCCCAGGCTGATTAACCACCTTAGCACCAGGGTCTCTGTAAAGAAAGCATTTTCTTCTTAATCAGTCTTAACTTCTCATAGGTTAGAGAAGTTAAGACTGATTAAGAGCTAGATGAAAAGARCTAGATGGTAAGACTTTTAGATTATCCAAACCACGTAGTCTCTGTACATCAACATAATGCAATGGTGCTCTTGTAACATGAAAACAGACACAGATGACACATTAAAAAAAATGGGTGTGTTGTGTTCTAATAAAACTTTATTAACAAAAAATAGGTGGTGGAWTGGATTTGGYTTATGGGCCACAGTTTGCCAACCCATGTCACAGTGAGTCCATGTGGCAAGGATAACATTATTACTGGGTTCTACAGAGCATCCAGTATTCAAATGGTGCGTGTTTAGTGAGGGACCATAAAACATTCCATTAACTCATCACTAYACAGACAAGGGAAGAGTGTTTAAAGATCATCCCAAAGTGTGACAGTAGGAAGCCTGAAGGCAGAAACAGTAGAAGAAGTTATGTGAAATTCTAGGRCTGTGTTATAAAAGGGAAAGAAAAGAAGGCAATGAGACCAAACATTTCAGCCCATGTTTAAAGAGGTTCTATTGATGGATCTCACATCCAGAGAAAATGAGGTGACTGGACAGGGGAGAGGGCCCTCCTGCCATTCCCTCTGACTGGGACTCTTTAAGCTACCTCTGCAGAGGGTACATCCTGTATGATAATGTTATCCCCCTTAATTAGGGTGGTTTTTTTTTTTTTTTGACCATCTCAATTCACCAAGTTTGCATCTAGCTTCCACAGAAGAGTCCTTTCTGAAAAAGAAAGAGAAATGGAGCCACTTTGGCATAGAATTTTATTCTCTAAGCCAGCATATGTCACCCATGGTGTACCTCCAAGTCCATCAAGAAACACACAGCATGCATTTACATGGTAAAACGGAACAGCTTTATTCCCCCCTCCCACTTCACAATTGGCAAATGGATTTCATATTATTTCAAATGGAAGTTTTCTTCCTACAGTTGCCTTTCTCATTGACAACTACTGTTGGTGGGTGCTGCAGCTTGGACCTTGCATGTCCTCTGAGGGCCCAAGTGTTAAAGGCTTGGTCCCCAGCCTGTGGTGCTTTGGGGAGGTGATGGAGCCTTTGGAATGTAGGGCCTATTGGATTAGGCCACTTGGGGGTATGTCCTCAAAGAGGACTTCAGGACCCTCTACCTCTTTCGTTCATGTCCCCACCATGAGACAAGTGGCTTTTTGCTTTGCCACACACTCCCACCATGATGTGCTGCTTCACCACAAGCCCAAGATCAACAGGCCAAATCATTTATGAACATGAAACCTCCAAAATTGTGAACCAAAGTAAACCTTTCCTCTTTATAAGCTGATTATCTCAGGCATTTGTTACAGTAACAGAAAGCTAACCAACAGAGTAGGGAAACTGCTTTCTCGGTAGTAGAATTAGATTTCACAGAGAAACTTTGAGTTAATGACAGATACCAGAGGGTCTGACCCAGCAGCCTCTGAGGGTGTCAATGAGGTCAGGAGGGCCTTTCAGCTGAAGGCCTGGTCAGACTGGGACTGGCCAGGCCTCTGTAACTCATCAAAGATACTGGCAGGCTCATCCCTGCAGAATTTGCAGCACACAGCTCCCTTTGACCAGGAAGTCTGAAAGTTATACAGTCCTCTTGGTCCCTACCAAATCCCCATCCTCAGTGCTGGGACCTCATGCAGGAGCATTTTAGCAAAGCCTCTGCTTTGGGCTTCCAATGTGCACTCTTCACCAGGTACAAGAGTGTCTTCGCTCCAAAGTTCAGGATTCAAGCTGTTCTTGCCTTGTGCTTTAGAGGGCTAGTCTCTGCCTCTCTGAACAGTGGTGGCATCATAGCAATGGAAGCATGAAGACCCAAGCAAGTGCTGGAAGGTAGGGTGTGGGGGCACTGCTGCCAGATGTCCTCTGAGCATGCATGACAGCAAAGACTGCATTGGTGTGGTTGGTGGGCAATTCCACGTTGCAAATCATTCCTTCACAGCAAGACCTACACTCCTGTTACAAATAAACAAGAGATGGAAAATAGTGAATAACGGGAAGGGAGAAGGGGTAAAACACAGAAAAACAAAGGCTTCTTCAGCTCCATCGTAAGAGGACCATTAGCGGGCTATCCAGTCTGTGTATCACACAGGTCTTTGGGTTCCCTTCCTCTGCAAAGGATGAGGAGGGAAGAACCATCTTGAGAATCTTTTCCTCCTAACTATGATTTATCTTCATCAAACCCAATCATCATCAAGGCAGAGAGGTGGAAGGGAAATTGAATAAGACTGCTTGATTGAGTCACCAAATCTTTCTAAAGGTTTTAAGAGAAAACACTGAAGCAAAAGTGAAAGCTAGGAACCTTTTGGATTAGTCATTGATTTTCTTTCCCAGTGTTACTTGATAGGGGATAATAGTGACTCACTGTTTTCTATGCTCATATCTGATTCCTATCATTACTGTAGCAATAGTTTACTAATTGTGGCTCCTGAGTGGTTAAAAAACAAAGGGCTGGGTCCCTAAGAGCATGAGATATTTTCAGGGGAAGTAGTCTCCTATGGTAATACAAGTGTATGGTTGGCGCATGCCTTGACCTGAGAAACCCAATCATTCCTTATGGCTTCTGGAACAGTCAGGCAACACAAAGGCACAACCGCTAAGCATTCATGTCAGTGGTTTTCACCACAGGTTGCACATCAGGTTCACCTTGGGGCAATTTTGAAAAGATCTCAATGCCCATGACCTCTACTTAAGGTTCTGCTTAAATTGGTCTGAGGATGCTCCCTCACCACCCGACTAACAAACCCTACAACAGCCACCCAGGTAATCTTGGCGTCACCAAAGCCAACAACCACTAATGTTGGAATTATTTTCTGTGCTTATAAACTAAATTAAATTCTAAAACCTCATGAAATTAATATATGTTCAAATAATCTTTTCTCAAAAATTTCAAGATTCCAGGCATATAAAAGTATAAAATGCTCATTTAGAATCATAGAATGAGAAAATTAAAAAGATTAATTGATCCACAGTGTGTCTATAGTTCTTTGCATTAAACTGAGCCTAATCTTTCGACTCTTTCTCCTCTGAGCAGAGGCGGTGGGTGAGACAAGTTTCCCTTGGTACAAGGTATCACTATTTTCCTATTTCTACCTTCCTTTTTCCCTGTGYGGCATTCTTGGTGATTTCTGACCATGAACAAAACAGGTGAGCTGGGCTCTAGTGTTCATGGTTCTGTCACAGATGAGTTGCTCACAGGCTACCAGAGCTGGCTTTGGACCATTCACACCTGCCTACACACACATGATCTTACCGTATGTTCAGAATCTTGGCTGTGGTGGCACCCAACAAAATGACATTCACTTTTGGAGGCGCACTTTTTGGTGATGGAGGTACTTCTTCCATGGCTGGTGAAATGATGAACTGTCAAACAATACTGTGTATCTAGGTAAAGGAAAATAAAAAAGCAATCAAAACAAGGCAACTTCATTTTTCCACAATGCAAAAGAGACCTTTCAACAACTACTCTAGAAATGACCAATATTCATGATGAACCTTAAATTTGGGGCAAGAAATTTAATAGCAGTGAGCTCTAGAGTTTCTAGATAGATTTTTTTTTGCAATAACATGTGTTTCTAAAACACATATGTATACTGAAAAAGAATATAAATAGTCACCCATCCTTTGGTATACACTAAAGCTGAGAATAAACATGCAAACTTTTTACCAAACTTAGGGGTATGCTCATTGAAGATGCATGTTTGTGTCTCTAGTCCATCCCCCCTACTTTTGAAACACATGTTCTAAAACTCTAAGATGAAAATTGTAAGTATAAATGCAATAGGTCAGAATATCTATTTCTTCATCATTCAACATTTGTTTCTTATAGGTGATGAGGCGAATGAAAGTTAAAAGATGGGACTCCTGGGATAGGGAAGTAGCTCAGTGGTAGAGCACTTGTCTTGCATGCATGAGGTCCTGGGTTCAATCCCCAGCACATGGAGGGCAAAACTGAAAAAAAGATATTGCTTCCAATCCCATGTCAAGATCATCTTCCCTTCTCATCTAATTCTTACTCAAGTCCTTATACTCCCAAAGCGTTTCCTCATCAATGAATTTCCATTTTCTCTTCTTTTTAAATCAACTCTTCCTTTCTGCTTCTCATTTCTGCAGAAAGACTTCTGCATAGCATTATCCTTATAGCTTTAACCACAAACATTTTATYATTTAAAGTTCTTCTAAGAAAGTGGTTTCATTCACTACCCTAGGACTGCGCTGATTCTGTCTCTCTTCTATAACTACCTCAGGCCAAGGAAACTTTCTGACCAGGGATCACAACAACAACATCACTGAATAGGGGAGGGAGATTGGACTGAAGTTGAGAAGACTGGGTTTATGGAATAGCCTATCAAAAGTAAACTACTTGAAGGCTGCGGTTGTGACTCAGTGGTGGAGTGCTTGCCTAGCATGTGTGAGGCAGTGGGTTCAATCCTTGGCACCACCTAAAAATAAATAAAATAAAGGTCTAAAAAATATAATGACATTATTATTTTTTTAAAGTAAGCTACTTTAGAACCTTTGAGCCCATTTTATTTTTAGAAAAATAGTTAAGTGCACTGGCATTCTGATAATATTAACAATAGCAAACACATACTGGGCATGAACCATCAGCCAGGCACACAGACTTAACATCCTCATTTAGGTGAAGAAAATCAGGCACAATTTCTTGTCCACAGTAACAAAGGTAGAAAAATCACATAAAGGAAAAGCCACATAAGTAGAAAGGTCACATAGCTGAAAGATCACATACACGGAAGGTCACATAAGCAGAAAATTTACCCAGGTGGAAGGTCACACAGGTGGAGGGTAAGCTTCTAATGCAGCAGTTTCCTAGGATTTGCACTCTTAACATTAATATTAAGCTAGACGCTGCTACAAACTAGTGCTGCCCACAGAGTGCTCTGCAAGTGTGGCTGGCTTCTGGATTCAGAAAGAAAGGGGGAACTAACTGTTTTAGAGAAGGGATTTCAATTCATAGTCCAAACAAGGAGGAATTGAAAACCAGTAGCTGCATGCATTCATACACAATATCACACATGCAAAAAGCAGCCTCAACAAGTCAGCACTGAAGCCAGGGTAAATAAARCTAGAAATGCCATTCTTGTTGTATCCTGTTACATGGGAACCCTTTAACAACACTGACAGATCACAGAAGTGAAGCTGCAAGGAAAAAAAAGGAAACGTGAGATGACAAAGAGCAATAGCTGCAGGCCAGTTGGCCTCCCCAAATGGTTAACTATCACTCCCGTAAATAATGGCAAAGTGAAAAGGAAGAAACCATACTCTCAGATATAATTCCAGGTGGTTAGTATCTTTAGGACTTGACTGACATAACCATCAAGAAGGAGCTTCTATGCCATGCTGGAATGGAGGATCTTTCCATGCTGATCTCTAAGAGCCAGCTTTTCTGGACACAGCAGAACCAACTCTTCCACTTTCCCCATTTCTGAATTGTCTTGGTGGTCTCTGCAGCTTCCTGCTTTTTGTTTGCCCATGTTTCAATGGAGATGGAATTCTAAGACCTAGAAACAGTCACTTGTGTTCCTGGCTTGCATGCTAAAATGGCTTAAGTGAATGAATAATAGGATATGCCCAGACCTAGGAGACAGAGTTTTGGGTACAATTTGAAAAAATACACAGTCTGTAAAGAGAAGGCCTGAGAAGCTGGGCTCCAAGGCCCCCATGTACAACTATGCTAACCCTTCTACTTGGTTTTCAAGGAGATGGAAAGCAAATTGTTAAAGTATGATGCCTGCTCTCTGAAAGAAGGTAGGAGACATATCAACCAACCTTAGAGTTTGAAACAATTAAAAAATTTCCCTGGAAATGTAGAAATAAAGCACACAATCACTCTCTCTCTCTCTCTCTCTCTCTCTCTCTCTCTCTCTCTCTCTCTCACACACACACACACACACACACACTCACAAGCATGTGAGTTAAGGGCACTCATGCCACAGAAATGTCAAAGAACCCCAAGAAAAAATGTTCACAATTAATTATACTTGAAAAGGAATAATGAAAAATGTAGTCACAGATACATGACTAATTTACAGCACAAGATGCTCAGACCCCGTAGAAGTCTCCAGTGTATAGTATATAGTAATTATTGGTTCCAYGCTATAAATAATAATGGTATAAAAATACCATATATAGAAATTCCCAAAGATCTAAGGTAATAGTAGACCCAAACTAGTAATCTCCAATTCTGGAAAAGTTTGGTTTTCTGTTTGTTTTTCTTAGCTGTTTACATCTGAAAACCTAAAAAGCAGTACACCCTGAAGTCTGAATCATCTGATATCCTTATAGCTCCATGTAGAGTTTTTAAATTCCAATTCTTCCACCAGACACTCTACTTGGTTTATTTCAAGTTCGTGTGTTTTAAATCATTCAACTTCCTACCTCCTCTGTTCCTACCAACCTAGTCCAAGTCCCCAATTTCTGCCTGATGACAACAATAGTCCCTACTTGGTGTCTCCTTCTATTCTGGACCCCAAACATCCATTCGCCACACAGCAGACAGAGCAATATTTTAAAAACAACCAGTATCATCACATCCTAGCTTAAAACTCTACTGTCCACCTATCCTGGTCACAGTGAAGCCCATATTCTATCAGAGAAAGAAGAACCTGTCCTGTCTGTGTCTCCCTCTCAGGTCCTTTGTCCATTCCCCACTACAACACATGGCCAGTGTCTTTTCTATTMATTGAAGAGGCCAAACCCACTTTTTCCCCTGGAAACCTTTGTATTGCCATTCCCTCTTCCTGACATGCTCTTCCAATAGATCCCTATGTGGCTGGTTTGGTTCAGTCATTCAGGTCTTAGTTCTAATGTACACTCATCCACACATTCTGTCCACAAATACTACTACTGAGGGCCTAATATGAATCAGGCACTGGATTAGGCACTGGGATGCATTAGTGAACTAAATAAACTAAAAGGAGATCCAAATGTTTGTTAAATGAATGAACAGAGTTTCCTAAGCATGGATGTGTCTCAAGAGGACAGAAATTTTCCTTTGCTTTAAGTCAGTTAAGTATGGCTTTTCTAAGGTATCATCAAGCATTTCTGAAATTGTTAGAATGCCTTAGTCAACACTGTGGTCTCTTCTCCCTGGTAAATACTGTTTATGAAATTCTTCCTCAAGGCAGACACAACTGCAAATTGAGGCTATGCTGCCGGTTTGTGAGTTCTCTCAGGATAGACCCTTAGAGGAAATCTCTGACTTCTATAGAACATCACCAGCCTGTTGCTGTGCTGATCCTTTACACAGGACATCTTTGCTCCAGGCAATTCAGGAGAGACCTAAAGGAAGTGACGTCACAGTCTTCCAAACTCAGCACACTTACTTTGTGGACACCATTTGTCTTCTGCCCATCGATTGCAGTTATAATTATCCCCTGCATTTTCACAGGTAAAACACTTGAAGCTATTTGGAAATGGTGTTGCTTTAAAAGAAAAAAAATGCAAAGTGAAATGATAAGGTTAAAAAAGACAAAAATTTCAAACATCGAATATGGTACAAAGTCAGCAACTTTTATGTTAGATGAAACAAAACTTATATGATGTCATCTTTACAAATTCCATGTCTAGGGAGTTGGATTTACCCATCAAGCTTTTGGCAATTTAAAAAAAATTTAAAAATACTTCCATGAATTTCCATTATAGAGTAACAAAAATGATTCCACAAGCCACTTTGAAAAGATCCATATCATTCTATTTTGATGTATAATTTGGGATAAGTGGGAGTTGAGGGTATGGGTGAGGGTGGTAGTGGTATTGGAACTAATAATGTGACCCACATATATCATCCCTGAAAAGAACTAGAGTCCAGATTAACCTCAGTTTGAATTCTGTCCTTTAAACTAATTAGTGTATAATTTTTAACTTCTAAGGCATAATATTTTATAATATTTATAATTATAAAAATAAAGATCCCTATGACTTGCAGAGGTATTGTGAGAATTAAATGGAACACTGCAATGAAAATCCTTTGTGGGGTCCCTAGTACATCAAGTCTTGCTAGTTTGCATCCATATGCACTCTATTACAGGTACAGTTATCCTCAAGGAAGTCACCTCATTTGACGTATGTCAATTGTCACAGCATTAGACCTTGACCAGGAAGGTAATATTTAATATAAGCCCTTACACACAGGCCAAAGCACTGTGGAAAGGAGAAATACTGAGTTGCTGACAATGTGAATTGAGCAAAATTAACATGTTCTTTTGTCATTATATCTTTTTGAAAAGTTTGCCTTTTATCTGGTTATTTTTAATTTTAAAATTTTTTTTAGTTGTTCTACTTAGTTGTAAATAATAGCAGAATGCATTTCAATTCGTCATATACGAATGGAGTGCAACATTTCAATTCTCTGGTTGTGCACGGTGTACCATTCATGCAATCATACATGTATCTAGCATGATGATGTCCATCTCATTCCACCATTTTTCTATCTTCATAACCCCTCCCCACCCTCCCCTTTGCCCAATCCAAAGTTCCTCCATTCTTCCCATGCATCCCCCCTATACTAATAGATCAGCATCCACTAATAAGAGAAAACATTTGGTCTTTAGTTTTTTGGGATTGGCTTGCTTCGCTTAGCATAATATTCTCCAACTCTATCCATTTACCTGCAAATGCCATAATTTTATTCTCTTTTAATGCTTAGTAATATTCCACTGTATATATATACCACAGTTTCTTTATCCATTCACCTATCTATTCATGAATGTCTAGGTTGGTTCCACAATTTAGCTGTTGTGAATTCAGCTGCTATAAACATTGGTGAGACTATGTCACTATAGTATGCTGATTTTACATCCTTTGGGTATAGACCAAGGAGTGGGATAGCTGGGTCAAATAGCAGTTCATTCCAAGTTTTCTGAGGAATCTCCACACTGCTTTCCAAAGTGGTTGCTGTTTTTGTTTTGTTTTGTTTTTTATGTGGTGCTGAGGATTGAATCCAGTGCCTCACCCATGCTAGGCAAGTGCTCTACCACTGAGCTACAACCCCAGCCCCTTATCTTATTATTTTAGTAGGAAAGAGGGAAAATAAAATAATTTGACATTTTTTGCATAGACCAGGGCATAGGGTCTGGGTAAAATTTTTAATTCTCCTGGTTTTGCAGAATAATGTAGGCAAGTAAAGGTAAACCCCAAACCATCCTAGTAACATAACCAGAAGTTAGGGTGAAAAGTAGAAGCAGTGGGTATTTAGGGTACATGGGGAGAATATGCATTGCTGTACAAAACACAAGCAAAATATCAAAGTTTCAGGAGACATGAAATTAAATACTGCAGATACATTTCAGTTTGGCCTATGCAAAAAGAATGTTATGCAGATATATAAAAATAATGACAGCCATTTTCACCTGTATGGGCTTAAAAATATTAATAGTCAATGCTAATGAATGAACAATTAGAGTATAAATTTGCACAATCCTTTATATTTAGTAATTCTAACTCTGGTAAAATCTATTCTAAGGTCATCAGCAAATTGAAAAGTACATTTAAAAAGATCTTCAATGGCAATTTCAATGAATTTAAATTGCTTGTATTTTTTAATGACATAAAGTATGGGGAAATGGTTAAATAAATAGCAGATCAGAAATATGAATTTTTAAAAGTAAAAGACATTAGAATATTTTAAATATATTCAAATTATAGCATAAAGAGTGAAAAACTAATGTAAGACTAAATTTGTGTAACATCAGTATGTCTCATATCTACATAYATGGAAAATACTGAAAGAAAATATTTAAAAATGTAAAAAGGAGCACTTTTGAATTGTGGAATCATGAACAAATTTACTTTCTTCTGTATATTTCCTGTCTTTTTGAGATTTTCTACAATGAACATATATTTTTCTCTTTTTCTAGATTTTTTCTCATCAAAAAATTATAACAGTCTTTAAAATTTGGAAACTTGTAAATAATCTAGATTTACAAAAACCATGTGTCATGCATTTTACCTATTAATAAACAGGGATTAACAATGCATGGATGTATAACAAATGATAATTCAAGATACATGTGTAGTACATATGTGTATATGTATATATGTGAAGCATTTATATGTATACTGAGAGAAAAAGAGAACTAGATGACTGAGTGTCCTAAATAATAAAGAAAACACAGAGTAAAGAATAGTAATGATATAGATGTCACCTAAGTGTAGTATAAAGATAGTGGTTCTCACAACTGTCTGTTTATCAACAGTATCAGGAGACCTTTTCAAAAAAGAGAAAAGAAAAAATTCCACATCTCACCCCTTTGATTATCAAATCTCTCGAGAAGTGACCTGGGGATATATCATTTCCATCAAGATTCTGATAGTCCTCCAGATGGGGGAACCATAAACATTTACATGTATACACATAATTTTTTCTCTAATAAAGTTTGTATGAGAGAAGTTTTATTTGAAGAGGAAAAAGAAGGGGTGATGGTATATATTCATACAGACACATATACACATGTTTATATAAAATATATTAACATAAATTATCCTATAAGATGATATGCACTGTTAGCCTATTTTAAAACTATTAGTGAAAAGCTGAGTTTTATGTAATTCTTGCTAACTGTGATTATGCATAATGAAAATCCAGGTTATATTCATCTTCAAATATTTCAATTATTCTAATCTTTTTAAAACTGTTAATGACCACTTGAAAGAATAAATATATCATTTATGCAGAAACTTCTTGCAGCCAGTTTCTTCTCCAATGAAGAAATCAATAAAGAACACTGAATTTCCTCTGCTAAGCCATGATTAGGGACAATATTCAAAAGAATTTCTTAAACAAGAAAGCTTTTAAGACTTTAATAGGAAGCTAATTCATTTTATTTATTTATTTATTTATTTTTTGCTAATTCATTTTAAAGAAATGGAGAATATTTTTGTTACCATACCCTTACCCATGGAGTGGTTGAAACCTTTCTGTTTTATTCTAGATATAAATCAAGCATTTCCAGGAAAAAAAAAAAAGCAAGGTGACAATGGATGGAAGTGGGGCTTCAAAGGACATTCTGATTCCCTCCCCAGTCATGAACTAACACGACAACCACTACTTACGGTCCAGAGGAGGCCTAACATTGTAGAAGTTGATGTTCTTGGCAGATGCCCAGTTTTCTGAGAGGATAAAGATGTGGACAACAGCCACAGCTACAGCGTGACAGAGGAGCAGCATCCTGACCTCATGGATTGAACAGGCCAAACTCATATGTCTATGATGAAAAGACAGATTATTTGAGTTTATTTATATTTTACTCATTAAAAATAAGAGGGTGTTTGCTTCTGTTTGAAAGACTCAATTATTCAATATATTTGAATATAATAGTTTCAATTTGAATTTGAATATAATTTAAACATTTATGTATTGTGTTTGGCTGGTACCTGCAACTAAACATTATTCTTTTGATCAGATGAAAGTTAAGTAATTACTGCCTTCTACTGGTCAGGCCTCTGCACTCACCATCTGAGTTTTAGCAGGATGCCCAGTAGCCTTTCAGGTTCAGGAAGACCAAGCAGCCCATACTGACCAGGTTATACCTATTTCATCACCTGAGTCTAGCTGGTTGACTTTGTGCTGAAACACCTGATCTCTCAAATTAACTATGGTTCCAGGCATGTTCCAATGAAGTCACAGGACTCCTCTTGGACCTGGAAGATGTGTGGGCAGCAGGAAAAGATACAACTTGGAGTCTAAAGGCTTCAATTTGGGGTTGGCTCTGCTGTTTATTAGCGGCCTGACCTTGGACAAGCTCTTTACATTCTATTAACCTCAATTTCCTCATCTGTAAAGTGGCTTAATAACACCGGACCTGCCCACACATTTGGGTAATTGTGAGCATCAAATACAGGTTCAGATAGGATCACAAAGGATTGTGAAAATAAAAGCCCTCATAATAAGAGTTCTGTAAAAATGTTGAAATATTAGAGCTCAATGACATTGGTTGAAATCCTTTTCTTCTTACAGAATCAACTATTCTCAGTGGATTTAGAAAAAAAATTTCAATGAAAAAAGGTTTAATCTCTGCATATATGTGTATAATTCTTCACATGAACAGGAAAATAACACTGGATTCTAAGGATTTTACTTCCCTCTCTTATGAATCAATTGGTTTTGCACATGAGCAATAATGCATAACCATGAAGATGGAATTGAATATTAGACAAAATGTAAGCACAACACAATGTCATCCCTGGAGATGGCTTTTGCTGTATAGAACTGAGTCATTAAGGATGTACTCAGTATTCAAAAAAGAATGAAAGGAAAAAAATAACCCTGGTGAGTAAATTTCAAAAATAATACAATAGTGTTAAATTTTATACACTGCATTTTAGATCAGAACATAATAAGATCTAGATATATAAAAATGTATGCAATTTTTCTAGTTCATTTTAAAAACCAAGCTTGACCTTTTCACAGTTAACAGATTTCTAAATTCTATTCCTATGTTCTTTCTGAAGAAATAGACATTTAAGCAACTATATTATCCCAACAGTCAAGTGGTTTTACTGATCCAAATTCTGCTTCACCTGTCTCTTTCTCTGAGTAGGTCTGCTTTGTAGTCATCTTGAATCTGGAGCCAAGTAATGGATGCATGCTCCTTCTTTATACCAGTGGAGACCTTTGGGGGAGGGGAAGACTGATCTGTCTTTCACAAACCTCAGGATGACTGCACTCCAACAGCAATCCACATGGAGAGATGGCTAAGATCATGGATTTCAGAGTCACGCTGTCTCACACTCCCTGTTCTAGCTCTAAGCAGCTATGAAACCTGAGACTAGTGGCTTAAGCTTTCCAAACCTCAGTTTCCCCATCCATAGGACCAGCATAAAAATAGTACTTTAGTAGTACTTATCTTCTCGTTTTGAGGTGTGGATGGTCACAATACATAGGAAGCACTCAGCAAGTACTGAGCACATGGTTGGAGCTGTACTTACTGAGCACTTTCTATTCAGTAGTAAAGCACTGGCTCAGATACCTGTTTCCCAACCCGCTATTTGAAGCCTGGTGCAAGTTCTTTAACCTTCCTATGCCAAAAACTTTGCTTCTATAAAATGAGAGTGATAACAGTACCTACTCCATAGAACTATAGGAATTAAATTATTTRAAGCATATAAAATGTTTGAACTATCTAATTAGCTATATGCCTAGAATTTTGCTAATTCTTATATAAGCATTTACTATTATGAACACATCCCCAATTTGGAATCCCAAGTCAAAATCCCTGGTTTGCCTCATGTAACCTTTATGAAATGAAAGCTCCTTCATTCATTCATCAAACGTGTCATTGTTGACAACTGGTATGCAACACACATTGTTGTCACTGAACCCCCTAAAGATTTTTGCTCATGCAAACTGCATTTCAGAGGGAGAAAACAGGAAACACACATGAAAAAAAACCTACTTTCAGTTAGTCATAAATTTCATGAAGGCAGTACAATAAGATGATATGTTAGTAAATAGGAGAGCTGCTTTACGTACATGGTGGTCCCACAACAACTCTCCAGTAGGTGGCATCTGAACAGGTACAGTAAACGATGAGAAGGAATCAGCCAAGCCAAGAATCAAATACCTGTCCTGAGTGCTTTGCCCTGTGGGGGTAATATTAAAATCAGCTGGTATGACTGGAACCAGCTGAGCAGGAGGAATAGGCAAAATCAGGGAGTCAGAGAGGCCTGATTACTTACTGCAAGAATTTGGGTTCAGGAAAAATCAGGCAATTGTTTAATTTTAGATTACCTAATTTAGAAACAACACCAAGAAATACTCTGTGTCTGTGGAATAATTGGTCCTAAATCCCTAGCCTTATTTCTAACTCCTGGAATAAAGGAATACAAATGATTGTGAGTATAGAAGTAGATAGAAATCAGATACACCAAAGGCTTCTCTGAGTGAATTTTAAAATGACTGGACAATAAGTCCAAGAATGAAACCATGGGTTTTTTTGTTTGTTTGTTTGTTTTTGTTTTTGCTTTTTTCCATCACTCAAAACAGCACCACAAGGACAGAGTGTTATTATACTGTGTAATTGAGGAGCTGGTAATTTAGAGGCAGAAGATGTAAGGTTCCTAGCATCCTGCCCCCAACATGGGATTCCCTTCAAAAAAACACCTCCACATGACATCCTGGCCAAGAATTTTGAAGGCTAGCGAGAAGTAAACCAAAGGAGTATTGCTTCATATAGACAAAATGTGTTTTTGTTTCCACTTTATACTGAAGAGTATACAGCCTTATTCTATCAAAATTATCCCAGACTGCAAAGTTCTTACCTGTCAAATAAGAAAAGTACTAAATAAAAGTGTCTCAGAATTCCAAAGCAGGTTTTATAATCTATTACCACACACTGCTTCTCCCCGAGCTYCTCATCTATCTCTATCTATGCTTCAGTGTACAAGTTTGTGGGAACATACTGTTTTATTTTCCACAACCAAAAGACATTAGGATAATGAAAAAGTAARTGACTAAATATAGTATCTGAGGGTTGTTTTACATTCAGAATCATTTCTCAGAGACTCCTAGATAAAAATTGTCTGCTGAGAGTGCTGAGTAGGCTTCCACTGCAGACTTTGTTGCAGAGCAAGGTTACAGGAGAGCTTGTAAGTGAGGGAAGAAAATCTCTAATACAAGTCAAACTAAAGCATTCAGGTTATTTTCTCGGAGGCCATCACACAAAGCAGTGTTACTTCTTCATGAGGGGGGAATGGGTGATCTGTGAACTTCCTCAGGTAATTTGCAAAATGGTGTGTCTAGACACATTTCCCCCTGGGTGGAGTAGCTCAGTGGAATCTGAGACTCACACAATGCCTAAGAACACCTGCTTGCTGTTTCCCAACAGAGCTGCCCCAGGTGAGCTCCCTGTGACTTAGACATTTTCACACTTTTGACATTAAGAAAAAAAGTTCCACAAATGCCTTAGATATCTGACCCACACCCCTCAAACTCAAAGGCAGATCGAGATATCCCCTGACCCCAAGCAGAGGCCATTACCTTCGCCCATCTTTCCCAGACAGTAGGCCTAGGCAAGACATTTCTGTAAAAGCATATTTGTAGGGATACAGCAGGGATGAGCAATTCCCGGGCATTCTAGTGAATGGCAGGTAGCCAGATTTGGAAATTCAGAAAACCCCTCCTGAGACTCTGGCCCCTTAACTTCCCAGAATTRAAGACTTCATTCATGGTATTTGGTCCAGAAGCATGACAGTTTCCCAAGTCTGAGTCCTGACAATCATCTCATCCTCCGTGTGGCATTTTAAACTCCCAAGGACAACATGTAAAGCTGATGGGACCTCAAGAAGCAACGCATCTTTGACATCACAAACTTTTGAGTAGGAAATGAAAATAACGTTATTTTTTCACATTCCCCAGAACCACGTTCAGTGCATGGTAGACACCGAGTGAATACTTCTTGGAAGAGAATCAACATCATTAGCTATGACCTCTGAGGAGTGCCTTTCTTAGTGAATAACCCAAAAGTTGTGGGCACTAAGGAATTGGTATGGTGTCCAAAAATGACAAAGAAATGATGGACTCCCACAGAAATTTGAAAAGAAGACGAAAAACCTAGGCAGTAAATACTGGCATTTCTTATGCAATTGCTAAAAATGAGTCAGCATGCACAAAACCAACTCCCACTGCCAGTGAGACGGATAATTTAAGGGAAACAGCTCTGCAAAGTCCAGCATGCCCTATCACCACTCAATCCACACCTGCCTGCAAGCACCACTTATCCCACAGTCAGACACTTTAATGACAATCCTTAATAGGCCTGGCTTCCCTTGTAAAAAGAATAGATAGCAAAATGGAAATTCAGAACAAATGCTGAAATTTACTCAGGGAGAATGCAAGAGGTGAAAACACTCTTCTCAAAATGGGAAATTCACCAGAAAACTTTTAACATCCATAACAAGAGTTGCAGTACTTGCTTCTGGCTGGTAAGCCAGGTTGGCAAATGAAGATATTCTAGTTCCTATTATATTTAGGAAGAGTGTTTGTGGGATTTATGTCAAAACTGGATTCTAATTCCTTCCCTAACAGGGTAACAGAGGGCTTAGTTTCTAATCTCCCCAGGGGACTGAGGGCCAGCTCAGAGAGTTCGGTTTCTACCTTCTCTGATGTGTTCACTCTCCATTTGTGGTACATGGAGGGTTTCGTTTTGTCCAAACCTTAAAAGCAGCATGATTATAAGTCATTCATTTATACCA